ACCACACCGAACGCAGTGAGTGCGTGTTAGAAATCATGATTGGTGAGAGAACTTTGTGCCTGGTATGTTTTTCATCTATAAACCAAACTTGGATCTCCATCTGACAAAGTTTAAATCCAGTCTGGCTAGCGCGCTTCTCATGATGTTTGCGCATCAGGTCATTAGACGGAGAGTAGGTGGTCTTTTGTGGCTGTTTGAACGAATTCGTTTTCGATTCCCTTCGAACCAAGGCGTTCGACACGGTCAATAGAGAGGCCCTCTGGATGCTTCTGGCAAAACTTGGATGCCCAGACAGGTTCGTGAACCTAATTAGACTGTTCCATGATGACATGACTGGCCAGGTACTGTCCGGAGGTGAAACGTCAGAACCTTTCAGTATTGTCAATGGCGTAAAACAAGGCTGTGTCCTGGCTCCTGTCCTCTTCAATCTCTTCTTTACATGTGTGCTGAACCATGCAGTCAGAGACCTTAAACATGGGGTATTCTTGAGGTACAGGTTGGGCTATTCAATCTTCAACGCCTAAACGCTAGGACCAAAACAGTGGAGAGAATAATACTTGAAGCACTATTTGCCGACGACTGTGCTCTTATGGCGCACACAGAGTCTGATCTTCAGTGCATTGTCAGCAAGTTTGCAGAAGCCTCCCGTCTCTTTGGTCTGACCATCAGCCTGGGTAAGACAGAGGTCCTTTTACAATGAGCCCCTGTTTCCAATTCCCTTCCTCCCTCTATCACCATTGAGGGGACAAAACTAAAGACAATCGAACATTTCAAGTACTTGGGTAGTGTTATCTCTTGCGATGGAACAATAGACAAGGAGATCAGTGCCCGTATATGCAAAGCAAGTCAAGCTCTTGGCCGCTTGAAAAACCGGGTACTGAACCAGCATAACATCAGACTAAACACAAAAGTAAAACTGTACAAGGCTATTGTTCTTACTGGCCTTTTGTATGGATAAGAAACATGGACCTTGTACAGAAGACATTTGAAACAGCTGGAACAATTCCACATACGCAGTCTGAGGTCACTTCTCGGTATTAGCTGGCATGACCGCAAAACGAACCTTGAGGTCCTGGACAGAGCCAAGACAACCAGCATCGAAGGCATGATCTTAAAATCTCAGCTTCGATGGACAGGGCACGTCATTCGTATGGCCGACAGTAGATTGCCAAAACAGCTTCTATATGGTGAGCTCTCCTTAGGCAAACGAAAGCGTGGCAGACCACGTAAAAGGTTCAAAGACTGTGTGAAGTCCTATTTGAATCTTGCTGGAATCGCCCCAAAAGATCTAGAGCTTCGCGCACAAGACAGGTCTGGCTGGTGTACTCTCTCAAGGCAGGCACAAGGCGCATTCGAGGTGAGACACCGCGTGCACATCACTGAGGCCCGAGATAGGAGGAAGTTGGTTGAATCTGCAAGTACTGAACTAGGACAGTTCCCATGTCCCTACTGCGAACGGTTGTGCCGTTCTAGGATTGGGCTCTATAGCCACATACGAGCCCACAAATAGATGAGTTGTGTAAAGGACCGTCATCATCGCTATCGATGGACTACCAAGAGGCGGTCTTTTGTGGCTGTTTGAACGCATTCGACCACATGAGCGCTTGCACTATGAAAGCAATCCGGTCGAATGCGTTTTCGATTCCCTCTAGAAGTGGTCGAAAGTGGACAAGCTCAAAACGTTTTAGACCCCTTTTACACCTGTATTTAGTGTCGTCCACTTGTGATCCGATCGACCAAAACGCATCTTAATACCAGGTGTAAACAGGGCCATAGATCTTATTGTGAACACTTCACACATGTATATCCCATAAAAAAAAATTCAAAAGTAGTTTTGTGAAACCGACAGACATCTATCTGATGACATCCAATCATTTAGTTTGCTTAAACCCGCCACTGCAAGCTTACGTTCATCTGTCTCCATTTTTGAGAGCATCAGCAAAATTTCAAAATCCAATCAACAACCGATGCATAGAAACATAGGTCTTGCCCTACATTTTTATATATTATATCAATACATTGGAATTAGAGGTCGACCGATATTGAATTGCTCTGATACAAGAGCAATATTTTCAAAGAAAAGCAATAATCAGATTATTCTGCCAAAACTAGTGAAATCTATATTGTGAATATGTTAAATAATGATCTCAGTCTTTCCTTCTTGTGTAAGGATGAATAAACAGGATAATAATAATGTAGAAAGAAAGAAAGAAAGAAAGAAAGAAAGAAAGAAAGAAAGAAAGAAAGAAAGAAAGAAAGAAAGAAAGAAAGAAAGAAAGAAATTTGTCATAATACAGGCTGTTTAATTTTCGTCAAGCCCTAAATACATCTGAAATCTTATTTTGAAATGTCCAAGCTTTACTTCCAGCTGTTCATTTAAAAATATGAGGGGGATAAAATATGCACTCCTACAACCATTAACAACATTTTACGATATAAACAAGTTTGAGAGTTGTCTCTCAAAATTGATCAACAGATCATAAGCAATCGCATGGCAGTGGCTTGGATTGCGAACTGCATAACGTAAAACAGCTTTGCATTTCGAAAACAATTTTATTTATTTCATTTAATCAGAGTTTGATTAATTTAATTAAGTCTAAATCACATTATTCCACATCATGTTTTCTGTTTTTCCCATCCCCAAATTTAAGACTTCTTAAAATGACAATTAAGATTTATTATTGTATTACGACTTTTTTATGACCTTAAATTTTAAATTTTAGGTTTTTTTAAAGGACCATCATGCCCTGGGTCCATATGACTTCCAAGTCTACTGAAGCAATTCAAATAGTTTTGTAGGCTACTTTTACTGGGGGGGGTTTGTTGTCATTTTGGTTCTCAAAGACCCAAATTATCCTTCACTTTCTTTATACGGAAAAGAGAAGCCAGGAAGTTCTTCAAAGTATCTCCTTATGCGTTCTACGCAAGAAAGAAAGGCATACAGGTTTGGATTGACATGAATCTGGCTACTTTGTCATTTGTAGCTGAACTATTGTTTTATTTACTAAGCAAATGTTGTCTTTCCTTTTCTTTTAAGATGCATTTGCCAACATCCATATTGTACATCACCTTTGACGATTGAGAAAAAAAAAAATAGTGCTCGATTTTAATAATGAAGTCATGGAGAGAAAAAAAAAGTCAGCGGCGACAACTGTTTCTTGCGTTCCCTCCGCAGATGATGGACAGCTTGCAGGTGGGTTCATGCCTCAGTGCACTAGCATGCTTATCTGAATGTCAGCAAGGGTGATTAGTGGAAAACTATGGAAATCAAAAATGCTAATTAATCTGCCTCACAGACGAAGAGGCACATTAAAATTCGTAGATATCTCAGAAGAGACACATCAAGCTTAAATTGTGAGGTGGAGGGTTAAGTTGCCTTTCCTTGGAATTATGATCAAATCGTACCACAGAACATGATTACATAACTTCAGATGACACAAACAAATGGTGATTTATTTGACTAAAAATGAAATATTGATATCTATCTGGTGTGTTTACATTGGAAGAGACATTCGGCAATTGCTCTGCCCTCTCAATAATCGATATCACCTGATCTACTTTGGCGCATTAGCTTTATAGCCGTATTGACGTAATATGTACACAGACAGACTTATTTCTCAGAGCAGAGCTCGAACCAGAGATTGGAGTCATATGTGCATTTTAGATAAACACTCGACTGTTCTGCTTGTCTTTGGGGAGATGTTCTCTGTAACCTGGCCAGACGCCAGCTCATGGTTTCTGGGATGATGGGGCTGAAGACTGCTCGTCTCTAAGTGCCACCGTTTCACAGCACTGCTCCCAGCAGACTCAAAGTGCTAAAAGCAAACACTCAGGGTCCTGCAGAGCTCTGACCCTGCTTCTAACCGCCGGCTTCGTTCCTTCCCCCTCAGAGCCGAGTGTGTGAGCTAAAACGTTAAAAAAAAATACACTCCAAAACCAGTTGAAACAGACTCTAGAGTTAAAAAAAGGAATTGGAAAATTTGGAAGTAATTTGGACTAAAATGGAAGTCTTTTCTTCTCTACTGTGAAACGGCTTCTCGAACTAGACAAAATGTAGGACGGGACTTGATTTTGTCGATTTTGTTGTTTGCTATTGCTGTGACGGCGAGCTCCGGCGAGGGCGGCGTGGCGCGTCTTTGACGGTGAGAGCGGCGAGGAAAGTTGAAGTCAGGTCAACTTTATGGTAATAAGCAATGACGCGGTTCGGCGGCAACCAATCGGAATGTAGAAGTGCTCCGTTTGAGAGAATTCCAGAGAATGCAGTCCTGTAAACTTTGGTTCCGACCACATTAGTTGTTCCCAAGCAAAATAGAGGAGGTTGACATGAAGACATTACTGTTGCTTTACCCATTAATAGACACGGTACTTTCTTGAAAATAAATTCCAGCACAGCTCTACAACAACCACAATGAAATGACCCATCACAATAGATAATGCTTTACAATTAACTTTGTTAGAGAGCTACATATGACAACTTATCTGTTCAATAAAATACCTTACTGACCTGTCATCTCCAAAAAGCCAAGCCAATGTTGATTCTTGTTTTATTACGAGCTCTGTCTCTCTCCTCTGTTTTTAAAACAGGCGATTCCCCAGAGGTTCGAGATTTAGCTGCTCCATGTCAATATTTCTTGCCTGTTGTGACAACTAACCATACACACACCATACACGTGCCAAAGTAGCCGGAGAAACTTTTCTCTACTTACAGATATGACGAGACACGCATGGGCGAGTGACATATGTACGCAATTTCCCACGAAAAACATCCTAATAATAAACTTATTATAGGCTTACCATAGTGAATCAGCGCAAAACAGACAAAAACATGTTTTGGAAGATGTATGGACTTATGTACATTTAGTTAATTTTAAACAAAAAAATTAATTTCAACAAAAATGTTTTTGTGCATTTAGTTTTAGTTAACTATTATAACCCTTATGTGAAACGACCTGATAAAGTCTTTTCTGCTCTATTCTGTAACAGCATCCTGTACACTTTACCTGCAAAAGCATTGTGGTATTTCTCCCAGGCCGTAGAGGGGGAACAGGAAGGGAGTGTTGCCGTAGCGACCCAAGCATCGCAGGAAGTGTTGCGTGGCCTTCAGTCCTTCCTCTGTGAGGGTCTGCTGCGTCACCATAGCGATGGAGTGCAGGACGAAGTCTTGCAGGTTCTCAGTGAGCTTCTTGTTCTTCAGGAACTCACTAAATGGTTTCTCAGAGTAGTCTAAAATAAAGACAATTTTCAATCTGTTACAGTGTAAAAGGACAATATGACCTCCCACTAAGTCTGCCACAAGATAGACTTCTAGACTGAATGAATGATTTTCAAAGAGGTTATTATAGCTTGTTGCCTAACACTGTAATAAAAGGAGCAATTTACCATATGTCAGTGAGACTAAATATCACTACAGCTTTAAAGACAACATGAAACAGCACTCGATTTGGTGGGGGAGATACAGACTGAAAAAAGTAGAATTTGTCAACATAAATGTGTGTCATTTTATATAGCTGTAAAAGGTTCTTCACTATGCCATGGCAGGCCATCCAAAATATAACATTGCGTAAAAAACATGGAAAAGTACATGAATAAAAGAAAGCGATTATCACACATTTTAAGGAATAAAAAAAATGCAGTTTAAATATTCTTCCAATATTATGATGTATTTTTTTTTAAATATTTGAATTTATTCTGTTGAAATTTACACTTCATTTACATGCATTTTTAAATAAAAATATTTAATAAAAATGATACATATCATTAAAATTTATGTGACATTGTGATAAGGGAAATAATGCAGGTTGGGGCTTCATTTGATTGGATCGTGAATGTTAGGCAATGTGTTTCTTTAAGAATGTTTCTTTAAGAAAACTCATTATGAAACTAAATAGGTCCATATTGATTTAAATGTTGCATTCTCACAGAGATTTCTAATATGACCTGAAATCTATAGTACATGTCTGTGACAGATCTCTGATGCTCAATGTGAATCACAGAGCTGAAGGGAAACAAACACTAGGGGTCATACCCTGGAACTCCTCTGGGTGTTGCTCAAAGTCCAGACAGAAGGTAAGAAACTTCATCAGCATGCGTTTCTCCACCACAGTCAGCTGCTTACTGGCAAACACATCAGCTCGCGAACACGGGACCTTCAGACGAGGAACAAACAGGACAGAGCAGGTTAAAGTAGTGACTTGTGTATGTATTCATGCAAGTTTGCATGTACAAGTACTACATATGCATGTACACATATTACACACATTATACATGGGGGGGGGGTAAAACAATTGTTGCTTAAAACAGCTTATCTTTAGCCCTAAATTACTCACACAGATGGATTTTGCATTACAACGCTGCATTTAGTGAAATGAGAAACACCTTTTGCGTCAATACTCTTATCAGGTGCATTAGTAAATGGAAATGGATGAATCGAGCAGCAATTCAATTTAATCATATTGTTTTAGCGGAATTGCTCCATTACTTCATCAGGATGCCTTATATCAGACCTAAAATACAATGCACATGAGAAAAACATGAAGGATACAGAATTTTGGATACAGACAGACAGACAGACAGACAGATAGTCAGATAGGCAATGTAAAGATTTCTTTCACCATGCCAATAAAGCTATTTGAATCTTGAATCTTGAATCTAGTCAGACAGAAAGAGAAACAGACAGACAGACAGATAGATAGTCAGATAGACAGACAGAAAGAGAAACAGACAGACAGACAGATAGATAGACAGACAGACAGATAGATAGAACAAAGACAGACAGACAGATAGACAGATAGATAGATAGATAGATAGATAGATAGATAGATAGATAGATAGATAGATAGATAGATAGATAGATAGATAGATAGATAGGACAGATAGACAGGACAGATAGATAGAACAAAGACAGACAGACAGATAGACAGACAGATAGATAGATAGATAGACAGACAGATAGAACAAAGACAGACAGCTAGATAAACAGAAAGAGAAACAGACAGACAGATAGAACAAAGACAGACAGACAGATAGATAGATAGATAGATAGATAGATAGATAGATAGATAGATAGATAGATAGATAGATAGATAGATAGATAGATAGATAGATAGATAGACAGATAGATAGAACAAAGACAGACAGCTAGATAAACAGAAAGAGAAACAGACAGACAGACAGACAGACAGACAGACAGACAGATAGACAGATAGACAGACAGATAGATAGAACAAAGACAGACAGACAGATAGATAGATAGATAGATAGATAGATAGATAGATAGATAGATAGATAGATAGATAGATAGATAGATAGATAGATAGATAGATAGATAGATAGACAGGACAGATAGATAGACAGATAGATAGAACAAAGACAGACAGCTAGATAAACAGAAAGAGAAACAGACAGACAGACAGATAGATAGTCAGATAGACAGACAGAAAGAGAAACAGAAAGACAGACAGATAGATAGACACAGATAGATAGTCAGATAGACAGACAGTAAGAGAAACAGACAGACACACAGACAAACAGACAGACACAGATAGATAGATAGATAGATAGATAGACAGACAGATAGATAGATAGATAGATAGACAGATAGATAGATAGAACAAAGACAGACAGACAGACAGACAGATAGATAGATAGATAGATAGATAGATAGATAGATAGATAGATAGATAGACAGACAGATAGAACAAAGACAGACAGCTAGATAAACAGAAAGAGAAACAGACAGACAGATAGATAGATAGATAGATAGATAGATAGATAGACAGACAGATAGATAGACAGATAGAACAAAGACAGACAGCTAGATAAACAGAAAGAGAAACAGACAGACAGACAGACAGACAGACAGACAGACAGACAGATAGATAGATAGATAGACAGACAGATAGAACAAAGACAGACAGCTATATAAACAGAAAGAGAAACAGACAGACAGATAGAACAAAGACAGACAGACAGACAGACAGATAGATAGATAGATAGATAGATAGATAGATAGATAGAACAAAGACAGACAGCTAGATAAACAGAAAGAGAAACAGACAGATAGACAGAAAGAACAAAGACAGACAGCTAGATAAACAGAAAGACAGACAGACAGACAGAAAGAAAGAGAAACAGACAGACAGACAGACAGACAGACAGATAGATAGACAGACAGACAGACAGACAGACAGACAGACAGACAGACAGACAGACAGACAGACAGATAGATAGATAGATAGATAGATAGATAGATAGATAGATAGATAGATAGACAGATAGATAGAACAAAGACAGACAGACAGACAGACAGACAGATAGATAGATAGATAGATAGATAGATAGATAGATAGATAGATAGATAGATAGATAGACAGACAGATAGAACAAAGACAGACAGCTAGATAAACAGAAAGAGAAACAGACAGACAGATAGATAGATAGATAGATAGATAGATAGACAGACAGATAGATAGACAGATAGAACAAAGACAGACAGCTAGATAAACAGAAAGAGAAACAGACAGACAGACAGACAGACAGACAGATAGACAGACAGATAGATAGATAGATAGATAGACAGACAGATAGAACAAAGACAGACAGCTATATAAACAGAAAGAGAAACAGACAGACAGATAGAACAAAGACAGACAGACAGACAGACAGATAGATAGATAGATAGATAGATAGATAGATAGATAGATAGAACAAAGACAGACAGCTAGATAAACAGAAAGAGAAACAGACAGATAGACAGACAGAACAAAGACAGACAGCTAGATAAACAGAAAGACAGACAGACAGACAGACAGAAAGAAAGAGAAACAGACAGACAGACAGACAGACAGACAGACAGACAGACAGACAGACAGACAGACAGACAGACAGACAGACAGACAGACAGACAGACAGACAGACAGACAGACAGACAGACAGACAGACAGACAGACAGATAGATAGATAGATAGATAGATAGATAGATAGATAGATAGATAGATAGATAGATAGATAGATAGATAGATAGATAGATAGATAGATAGATAGATAGATAGATAGATAGATAGATAGATAGATAGATAGATAGATAGATAGACAGACAGATAGACAGACAGATAGATAGATAAATTGTCATTAGAGATAAAGAACATTTTACATTTATTTTATACTGTTAGAATTATGCAAAATATCTGCTCTTTACCTGCTCCACTTTTCCATTTCTGCAGGTGAGGATGCGGCTGATGTTCTTGAACTCTGCGTAACGGCTCACATTAGATTTGATGAGCAGATCCACCAATGCACCACGTGAATACATCAGCTTTGAAGAGGGTCAAAGAGAACACTATAAATTTCATTTCACTGCCTTCTAAGTTCATTTGAAGCTAGATGGCAGACTGCGCTCACTATGTGAGGGTGTTTTAGTAAGTCATTTGAATAGTTTGAAGCATCTATTCACACATGTAGGTGTAAACGTGAAGACAATAATGGAGAAGTTAACTATTTCCACATCTTTATGTGTCAGATTTAATTTCAGTTGATGTCTTGGTATTAAAGCAGTTCTTGGTTTCCTATTATTTGCTCTTTATTTTAAACCAATACAAACCTTGGAGACAAGGTCGATGTTGAACCTGCGTCCTTCTTTTAACAACTTTTGATATGTTATCTTCTTTTCCACCTCCACAGGTGGATCTGCTGGGCTGCTGATTGGCTGTGGCTCTTTCTCTTCCTGTGATTGGCTGGGTTCTCCAATCTCTGAGTTATGCTGCTCCTGATGCTCCTCGTTCTGGGTCTTAGCATTGGATTCTGTGGCGTCATCACCTGTAAACGTGTCTTGAGCCTCTGTAGAGCCTCCTTTGGTCTCTTCTGATTCAGTCTCGGCATTCACTGGCTGACAGCTTGTTAACGGGGTCTTCGTTTCATCTTTCTCTTCTTCCTCGCTATAAAGAACAGGAAAATTCAATTCAATTCACATTTATTTGATTTGTATAGCGCTTTTTACAATACACATTGTTTCAAAGCAGCCTTAAAAAAAAATGCATGTGTCTACATTACAATTTTTAGTGATCTGTTATCAGAGGTGAGCTCAGGTGACTGTGTCTAAGTTAAGCATTTCAGAAATGTACATATACAAATAACACAGTTAAATAACAATGTATTAAAGGTAGAAAACAACAAGCTCATTGAAGTATTGAATACATGTTGTTAACAAAAGAAAATGGAGTTTCACAATAAATAAAATAACTAATCAAATAATGATAACAAGAAAAGAAAAAAAGGCATTTTCTTTTGGTCTACATCCTGGCAGTCATTTTAAAATATTTCTCTGGCCTTGTACACTAAGTTTGTACACCATTGTACACCATGTACTATATAGTTTTGATCCGCAGGTTGACCCTCAGAAAAGCTTTTTTTTTTCAGTAATCAAAAATATAATTCACAATTGTTAGTGAGTAACCTCATTTCAAAACATTTGGAGTTGGTATACATTATTTGGATTTTATGAGGAATTGCATAGATGTGCAGCAACAGTGTAATTTCTTTATAGTTAATTATTATTTTACTTATTATTAGTAGCATTTATACATTTATTATTATTGCTATTCATTATAAATTATTTAATTTATCTATTATTAATTACCTTCCATTTTAGCACTTTTTACACACACAAAAGGGTGTAGAATTTACTTGGTAACAATTTTCACCCGGAAATTGCTTGTAAATTTCACAATTGATTACAAAGGAACAGCAAGTAACGCATGCATTAAAGGTGAAATTAATTAGAAAGACTGAAATAGCATTTACTTGTAAAACATACTCCAATAATCTTTATTTACAACTATGGAAAATAATTATTTACAGTGTATTTTAATTACTTTTACTTTAATTTGACTTAACTTAGAGGTCCATTCAAATAGTTTCTGTCATGCAGCATGTTTATTATTATTCTGATTATTATTCTGATTATATGCTGCACAATACCTTAAAAGGTCCCCCAAAATATAATTTAGAAATTGAAAGAAAATGTGCATTGATGAGACAAAACATACAGGACCTGCCATCATAAATTTGTACATTTGGCCAATTTTTACCATGTGAGTTGTAAGTAATTCACAATTATTGCTAACCTGGCATAACAGAAGACTTCTAAGTTGGAAATAGAGGAGTCCACGGAGCTGAGAGGCATCACATCCTCTCCCTCGTCAATCAAGCTTCGCCATACTTGCTCCGACTCTGCGATCTGTACCTCCTGCTGATTCTGAGAACACACATTATAAACCAAAATCAACTGTTGGCTAAAAAACACAAGGTGACCTGCATCTTAAAACTGCTAACAAGTAAATCAGTTTTTTTTTTTTTTTTTTTTTTAGTTATTCAGTTGGTAAAATTCTCGGTTACACTTTATTTTAAGGTGTCCGTGTTACAGTGTAATTCATACCTGTCAACACTCCCGTTTTTCCCGGGTTTCTCCCGTTTTTTATCCCTATCTCCCGGACCCCTCCCGGTTTGTTATTTCTCCCGGGAAACTCCCGTAATTTGCATGGCCCAAACTCCTTTATGAATAATCGGAACAATATCATATGTTTGTCCGATGTTGACCAGTTGCCAGATCTTGTATTAAATGCATTATATTCACACAATCCACACACCATATACAATTTCAACCCGGTTGTCATCTCAACCTGGCAACCTATAACCCAGTTGCGCAGTCGCGGAAAGCTTAACCCGAAATAGAGTGCGGCGCGGGACTAGATTTGATGGCCGAGTGCGAGCGCGGGCGGTAATGCACTCACTCTGTGTGTGTGAGAATAAAACGATTCGCGGGACTCCCGCAAACTAGAAATATTTATGAATAAAACAGAAAAAACTAATACATTTTTATTCATCTGTTGCAGAAAAGCAACAATAACAACAAAAACGATTTACAGGCCAGAGTTTATATTTATAACATGTTTGCAGCGTTGAGCGATGTAGCCAATCACAGACATATGTGTTGATTTCTTGAACGCAATGGCCAATCAGAAGCATTTAAGATGGACTCCCCTCACCGCTCAAAACTTTTTTGTTCAGTGCTGAATTCTGTATGCTGGCAAATCCTCTAATTATAACAAACAAAGTGTATATATTATGAAAGATTCACTGTGCAGTCAGCTACATTGATAATAACAGAAATGTGTGAAAGAGAACACCCCCCCCGCGCCGAACAAATCTCCCGGATTTTGAAAACCAAATGTTGACAGCTATGGTGTAATTATACATGTAAGTACTGAGTAATAATTGACAACATCCACTTAGGGTTAGGATTAGGGTTAGTTGCATGTAATTATGCATAATTATATTTATTACTAAAGTAACTACATGTAACATGGCCACCAAACTCTCATAAATTTGTATTTGAGTGAAAAAGCTAAAATAATGACCTTATATTCCTCGATCCACGAGAGCAGGCCATTGAATGTGAAGCTTGCCCAGTTTCCAGCATAGTAGTTCCTCCTGTAAAATGAAAAAAAGTGTCATTTATTCGACGTCATTCAAGTGTTTGTGTGCATCTGCTTACGTAAATCTCATTACATAGACACTGAGTATCAAATTCCACTTCACTTGAAGGTACAAAGCAGAAATAAGAGCGTGTATTGAGTGGTACCTGTCCAAATGCAGAACACTCTGTCCGACTCTGGAGCAGGCCGCCGCAATGACAGACTCGGTGAGGCCTGGGAAATGAACACAGACAGAAAGCATTGTCACTGACCACCATTGAGTCCTCCTACCCGACCTCTCTCTGAATTGAATGTTGTTTCACTCCATTTGCAAAATGCGTGCCATTTCAAGCACACTTCGCTGAAATAGTGAAGCAGTACGACTGCTTTTACAATTACATTGACGCAAACATAAAAGCATTAAGGCTCGCTTGAGGCGTATTCGCTGTAACTGCTGTGGATACATCCAGTTAGTAAACGCAACTCAGCATGAGGACATCGACACCGCTAACAAAACTGTATTTCATTCAAGCTTTCATCTCCCATTTCTAAGTAAAGTCAGTCACTAAGTTTTAGAATTCACACAGTAAGGGTTGAACTGTCCAGTCAATTCGTTCTGTGACCCAGCAGGTCAACTAATGGCAAAGTAATGCCAAAAAGAAAGTTGCTGTTAAGATTTAAATAGGCAAATGCTTAAGAGTCTAAGGCTGGATCATTATTGAAGTGATTATTATGTTTCTAGCATGTTATGTTTGGCAGCAGTTTTTCTAACCCTGCTTGATGGAGTGTGTAGCTTTTCATTTCTTAAACAAGCATGTAGGAAGACACATCATGGCCATATCTATTGTTTTGAGAATGCAAGAGTCGAGCACTCTGTAAAGTCTACTCCAGCACATCCGAAAGACTTTCAATGAAGTTAAGGTCTGGATTTGTGTGTGAAAATGATCCTTCATGCTCCCTCCCAACCATTCTTTCACAATTTGAGCCTGATGAATCTTGACATCATCATCCTGGAATATGACCATGATGTGTCTATTAGAGTTAGAAGAACTGTTGCCAAACATATAACATGCTAGAAACATACTAATTACTACAATAATGATCCAATCATAAAGCATTTGCCTATTTATATCCAAACAGCGATTCTTTTTTTTTTTTTTTTGGCCAAACAGTGTTTGTTTAGGTGAACAGCACTGGTGGTTCAGGTGTGCAGTCATTTGTTCAGTGACACAAATCAAAAATCATTTGAGAAATCAATAAATCAACTGAGAAATTGGAAAATAAATGGATAATTGAATTTAAGAATTCATTATTTGCATAAATGATCAAATTAAATCAGTTTATCCACATTTATTTATTTATCCACAATATAATAAGCGCAATTAATTGATAGGTTTAACTAACGCAACTCAAAATAAATTTTTTACAAATATTTTAAAATTGAACATAATTGAAAGAAACCTGAAAAAAATAATAGATAAAAACTTACAACTGAAATTAATAAAAAACTAAATGTAACTAAAACTGAAAGAAAAATTAATTAAATCTAAATAATAAATAAATAACTATAAAAATAATAAGATAATCAGTGTATATAATAAAAATTAAATAAACATTAAAATGAAAACTGAAAATAAAAATATTAATAAAAACTATAGCATATAAATAATAATAAAACAACACTGTTTCTCATTCTCAGTTGATTTAATGACTTATTAGTTGTTTTATCAATTTCTCGTTCTTACATACAAACCAAAAATCTATTATTATAAAACTATAGAAGAACTATAGAAGTGGCATGACAGTTTTTACACGGTTTATGAAATTGCGAGCAGCGTGAATCTGCAATGACAAAGGCCGCTGATGCGTAAATCACGTTTGAGAATACTGCTGGCTACTGTATACAGGCCACCAGGGCAGGAATTTGCAGACTTTCTATCAGAACTAGTATTGGCTGCAGATAAAGTACTAATTGTTGGTGACTTTAATATACATGTAGATAATGAAAAAGATGCATTGGGATTGGCATTTAAAGACATTGTAAACTCAATTGGAGTTAGACAACACGTGTCAGGACCTACTCATTGTCGTAATCATACTCTAGATCTAATACTATCACATGGAATAGATATTGATGCCGTTGAAATTCTGCAGCAGAGCGATGACATCTCAGATCATTATCTAGTCTCATGTAAACTTAATTTAGCCAAAGCAGCAAAGCCGACTCCGTGTTATAAATATGTTAGACCTATAACTTCTGCCACTAAAGATTGCTTTATCAATAATCTTCCTAATCAGTTTCATCATCTCAGCATCCCGGATAGCTTAGAAGAACTCGATATTGTGACAGAAACTTTTAACTCTCTCTTTTCCAGCACTTTAGACGCAGTTGCTCCGTTGCGCTTAAAGAAGATTAAAGAAAATAGTCCAACGCCGTAGTACAATGAGCACACTCAGGCCCTTAAGAGAGCAGCCAGAAAAATGGAGCGTAGCTGGAAGAAAACTAAACTAGAGGTATTTCGGATTTCATGGAAGGAGAGCTCGATTGCTTACAGAGAGGCCTTAAAAGCTGCTAGATCTGCTTATTTTTCAACCCTATTAGAAGAAAATAAATATAATCCTAGGTATTTATTTGAAACAGTGGCTAAACTAACGAAAAAGAAAGCTTCAAGCCCAGAAGTGTCCAAGCAACACAGCAGTAATGACTTTATGAATTTCTTCACTTATAAGATTGATAATATCAGGGACAAAATTATAACTATGCAACCGTCTATTACAGTATCGCATCAGGGAGTGCATTGTAGTCTCCCTGAGGAAAAATTTGGTTAATTTGCTGCTATAGGAGAGGAAGAATTCTGCAAACTCGTTAATTCATCTAAATCAACAACTTGTATGTTAGACCCTATTCCGACTAAGCTACTGAAAGAGATGCTTCCAGATGTCATAGATCCTCTTCTCAATATCATTAATTCGTCTTTGTCTCTAGGATACGTTACGTACCAAAAACCTTTAAGCTAGCTGTGATAAAACCGCTTGTTAAAAAAAACGCAACTTGATCATACAAAATTTGTCAATTACAGGCCGATCTCGAATCTGCCTTTTCTGTCAAAGATACTGGAAAAAGCAGTATCCTCACAACTGTGTTGCGAGGATTTTCAGTCCGGATTTAGACCGTACCATAGTACAGAGACTGCTCTCATCAGAGTCACAAATGATTTGCTCTCTTATCATCCGATCGTGGTTGTATCTCTCTATTAGTGTTACTTGATCTTAGTGCTGCATTTGACACAATTGACCACAACATTCTTTTAAATAGACTAGAAAACTATGTTGGCATTAGTGGAATTGCATTAGCATGGTTTAAATCATACTTATCTGACCGTTATCAGTTTGTAGCAGTAAATGAAGATATGTCTTATAGATCACAAGTTCAGTATGGAGTACCACAAGGCTCAGTACTAGGACCGTTGCTGTTCACTCTGTACATGCTACCCTTAGGAGATATCATTAGGAAACATGGAGTTAGCTTTCACTGTTATGCCGATGATACTCAGCTGTATATTTCTTCAAAACCTAACGAAACTTACCAATTCACAAAATTAACGAAATGCATAGCTGATATAAAAAATTGGATGACTAGTAATTTCTGAAAAAACAGAGATTCTAATTTTTGGACAAAAAACTTCCACACGTAATAACCTAGAATACTGTCTAACACTTGATGGCTGCTCTGTTAAGTCTTGGTAGTCGGTTAGGAACCTGGGTGTGCTCTTTGATACCAATCTTTCATTTGAAAATCACGTGTCTAGTATCTATAAAACCGCATTTTTCCATCTTAAAAACATATCTAAATTACGCCGTATGCTCTCATTGACAAATGCGGAACAATTAGTTCATGCGTTCATGACATCAAGACTAGATTATTGTAATGCTCTACTGGGTGGTTGCCCTGCACGCTTAATAAACAAACTACAACTAGTTCAAAACGCAGCAGCTCGAGTTCTTATCAGAACCAGGAAATATGACCATATTAACCCGGTTCTGTCAACACTGCATTGGCTTCCTATTAAACATCGTATAAATTTTAAAATATTGCTGATTACTTACAAAGCACTAAATGGTTTAGCTCCCCAGTACTTGAGTGAGCTCTTAACGCATTATAGTCCTTCACGCCTATTGCGATCTCGAAATTCCTAGAATTTCAAAAATCGACTGCAGGCGGTAGATCCTTTTCCTATTTAGCACCAAAACTCTGGAACAATCTTTCTAACATTGTCCGGGAAGCAGACACACTCTGTCAGGTCAAATCTAGACTAAAAACACATCTCTTTGGCCTAGCATACACATAACACACAATAGACTTCCTTAATTCAAAATTAGGCTGCATAGTTTAGATCAGCCGGAACCGGGAACACGTCCCGTAAATCCTGATGTACTTGGTACATCATAAGAAGGATGGCGTCTACGCTAATATTATTCTCTCTGTTTATCCCGAGGGACCCTCTATGGTGGACCTGCGCCTGGACCCATCCCAACTCATCCTGAAGTGCCAGCCTCATCAGCCCTGTGAAGGCCTCATCGACACGACAGCCATCGGCACTGATCCTCAACAACTCGTCTCCAAACCGGCGTGATTACTTCGATTTCCAAACAGATGGAAATGGATAAATACTCTAAATGTTCCGATCCAATCTGACTTGTAATGCTGCCCGAATCATACACTGTTCCTTCGTTGGACAGAGGAGAACTGGCCCCCGACTGAGTCTGGGTTCTCCCAAGGTTTTTCTCTCCATTCTGTCACCTGATGGAGTTTTGGTTCCTTGCCACTGTGTCCTTGGCTTTTGGCTTGCTTAGTTGGGGACATTTAATATTCAATAATATTATTGATCTGCCTTACTTAAGGTGGACGTTGACGCAATTTTCTTCTAGAAACAAACTTTGTTGTATTATTTTCATGTTATCACTGTGAAGCGCTTTGATACAATCTGTATTGTAAAAAGCGCTATATAAATAAAGTTGACTTGACTTGACTTGATGCTGCACAGCGTTTGGACAGTCATTTACAGTGTAAACATTTCCCGGATAACTCGCTGACTATTAAAAATAAGTACTCGTACAAGCTCTAGCTCACACACACACACGCCAATGGATTCAAATGGTATATTTACATGATGTTTGAGCTGAAGTTTACATAGTTCGCAAAGCCGCAGTAAAAAAGGGCGAAGGAACGCGTG